GATGAAACCAAATGCCGTTTCCTTGGCTTTTAGTACGTATGACTAGTCCAAAATCTGGACTCAACGTTGACCCCTGCCAATCAGGATAGAAAGCAGGGGAAGGGTGCAGGGAGGAGAGGCCCCTGATGGAGTTAGGAATGGGGGTGGCAGTTGGAAGGGGGACACAGATGAGGTCTCCCTCCACAGTGTAACAGCCAGTAGTGAAAGAAGACAGAGCTTTTGCTGCAAAGTTTAAAAACTTAGTTTGGCCCCTAGGTGTCCACCACACCATCGCATTATCACCCTTCAACTCCACCTCCCCCCTCAGCACATCCAGCCCCTCCCTCCAGCTACCTTGAACTACTCTCAGGGCCTAGAAAGCATGTTCAATCTCATCATTTCGTGCCTGTGTACTCCTCATTTGCTCATGCTGGCCCCTCTCCCTGAAGTCCCCTTCTCTACCTGAGAACTTTTACTTATCCTTCAAGACTCATTTCAGATGTCACCTCCTCCAGGAAGCCATCAGAGGTTCCCAATCTGATGTGGGTTCTTCTCCAAGCCCACAAAGCACCTCTGCACTCCCGGCATCTGTCCACACATCTCCTTCCTCAACAAGACTGCAAGTCCACAGAGGACGCACGCCACACTTATTTAACTGTACATCCCAGCAGCTAGCACAGAGCTTGCCATATAATTGATACTTAATAGACACTGGCTGATTGAATGAATGAACCAGGAAATGAGCATAACCCCACTCAGGTAAGTGGTCATGATAAGACATGATAATCATATTGATAATAATTAATAACTGCTACCACCAAATACAAAGACTATGCTGATCTCTTTATCCAAATTGTAACAACAGCTCTCGAATATCAAGCGCCTACTGCTGCCCAGGCATGGGCCAGTCACTGTGCACGTGTTATCTTCTTCCCAGCTCTCAAAGGCTCAGAGAGTGAGGTGCCTGCCCACAGCACACGGCCAGAAAGGGGCAGAGCCCAAGCCTGAAGCTGAGGTCTGCCTGACCCTTTCCCCTGAACCATGCCTCCTCCCGAGAAAGCCACTGCTCCTTGTTCTTGCTGGACACTGATTGGCCTCTGTCGGCCCCTGTTGCCAACCCCTCAGTCCATCTTCCGAGGCCCCAGTGCCCAGATAGATGGGCCTCACAGCTCTGCATCCTGCCCAGTTATTGGGAAGGCTGCTTTCCTCCACCCCCAGGAGAACCTGGAAGGGCCAGAGCGTGCAGAGCGCAAGGTCCACTGCTGATGCCCAGGGAAACAACGTGGACATTCAGAAGCGGGAGCTGCTTTGCCTGATGGCTGAGCGATTAACCCTTGCATGGCTGCCACAAACAAACAGAGGAGCTGCAAATAAACACACCCTGAACGGGCCTGGAGAACAAAAGCCCGTGGACGCCCCTCCACTATACTCCTCTCCCCTGCTGAGTTTATTTCCGGACCACGAGATTAACTGGATGGAATGAGACTTTGGGGACAGCTGGCACACCCCCCACAGGTCTCCCTCACCTGTTACACTAGTCCTCTAGTGCACAGGTTTGGGAAGCACAGGTATCTGGGGCGCACTTGGCATCCTGCTCCCCACTCCCCACTTCTGTCCCCCAAAGGAATAAATGCCCAGAAATTCCTCATTAGAAATGCATTCCACTGGTGCTCCCTGGAGAAACTAAGCCAAGAGTCTTGGAGTGAGTGACCCAGGGCATAAGAAGTCTTGGTGTACCTGATGAAGGTATTCATCCCCCAGACCTTTCTGGAACACTTACTGCAGATCAGGCTCTGTGCTGGGTGCTGGGGACAGCAGGGTAATCAGATACGATTCCTACCAGGTCTGGGAGGCCGGGGGGACAGACACAGACCAATAGATGTGAGGACATGCACACGTGTGAGGACTGACACCAACGGGGTGGTAGAGGGGCAAGGAGGAGGGAGGCGTCATTTGTTTGGTGATGAGGGAAGGGGGAGTGATTAGGAAAGGCTCCAAAGCAGAATAACCCCCAGGGCTGGGTGTTGCAGGATGAGCAGTTGTCCCCAGCAGACAAAGCAGTGGGAGTGGGGGCACCTACAGTAGCAGAGAGAAGGCAGAGAGGCTTGAGGAGCAAGGGTTCAGCTGTCGTAACCTGTTCCACAGGGCTTGAATATGTGGGACGAGAGAGGGCTTGGCAAGAGATAAGGCAGCACTCAGGTACAGGGCCTGAGAACTTGGACCTCATCCTGAGGACAGGTGAGCCACGGAAGGGTTTAAGAAGCAGGACGATACGCTCTGAGTAGAGCACTGGAAAGACTCCTCTGGCTATAGTGCAGAGGGTGATACAGAGGGGAGGCAGCACAGAGCTGGGGGCAAAAGGCCATAACAGAGGCTGATGCCATTTAAAGGCAACATTTTTCTGGGGGCCCAGCACTGTTTTCAGAGCTCTCCCCTCTTTATATATATGTATACACACACATCTGTATATACACATACAACTAATATGGTGTTCATACGATTGTTACCTCCACTAGATGGAGTAGGAAACTAAAGAACAGAGAGACTAAGTCGCTTGTCCAAGGGCACACAGCAAGTGGTAGACTCAGGATTTGAATCATCAGTGCGGCTTGAGCATTCATGCTCTTAACCACTACACTAGAATGCCACTCCATCAAAGATGACAAAGGCTTGAGATGACATAGCATGGTTAGAGGAAAGGATTCCTGATGGGCCTACTCTGTATTTGGGGCTCCCCTGAAGTAGCTTCTGGCTTCCACAGATAAAGGGGTGCAGCCTTGAATCCCGAGGCCCTTGGGGGGAAAAAAAAAAACAAAACTATAGCATGAAATGTGAAGAGGTTGAAAACTCCCAGGACAGGGCCATGATGGGAAGCCATAGGGGTCACTTGAGTCCCCAGGAACACAGGCCTTTGGGGAATGGAAGTAATACTTGTGCTTGGGTGGGTGTGTGCCTGCAAACTCTTCAGAACCAGGAAGGTAGGGTACAGGGAGGCAAGAGAAGGGGGTGCTCCAGTAGGAAGGACCCTATTTTCCTCAACTCATGGCCATACCTGCCAGGGAGGCTGAGGTCAGAGTGCTCATGAAGGTGCTGTGTGCTTGCAGGCAGAGGTGGGTTAGGCCTTGGTAACATGTGGCCACGGCTCTGACCACCTGGACCCCCTGGGGCAGCTCCACATTCCACTCTCCCAGCCATGCTCCTAGGAGGGATGGGATTTGGTGGTGGTGGGGGGGGCAAGCGTCCTACCCAGGGGTCCTCTGATAGAAGAGAGGCCCAGGGTCAGAGAGGAAGGTTACATGTGGCTTCCGTTTAATGCATTTGGTGGTATGCAAAGTTGGACTTTGAACTTGCTAGGCCTGGGCTTTGGACAGTATTATAGGCCTCATTTTCCTTATCTTTAAAATGGGAATAAAACTCTGCTAATGCAGGGTTGTGGTGAATGTCAAAAGTGAATACTGGCTGTTAGCATGCAATTCCACCCACTTTGTAAAGCCATCTGCAGGTGTGCAGAATTATATTTGGTGAGCTGTATTGTACATCCTGGAGCTGGAGCCAGGGGCTGCTGACACTTCAATGTCACACTGAACTTCAGTCTAACTTTAGGGGCTGCCAATTAGTGGTCAGCCAAAGAACAGTAAACAACAGGGGTCACTACCCTCATTCCTGCATCTCTGTGGAACTCAGAATTCTGTTTGAAGTCTGGAAGAAGTCGCTTAGCAGCCTATGTTAACAGCACCTCCTGCTTGCTAAGGCAGGGCAGCCACCAGGTAGGTATTACTTAAAGGCAAGCTGAAAAGCCCAGAAAACAAGGGATGTTTTGGGCGTGGATAATTCAGGGCTACTGTACATAAAGCAAAGCAAGGAGGGCAAGATTGAAGCCAGGGTCACCATCCCAGGCAAGGACTAGCCCAATCAGCCAGTCAGAGGCCTGACCTGACTGGTATCTGTGCCAACGCCTGTTGGAACCGCGGCATCTCTTTACTATCCCAGAAAAAGCTTCGCCAGAGACGAGAGTGTCAGGAGGGACGCATAAGGGCTGGTAAAATCGCCATCAGAGCATTATAGATAAACGCACACACCAACCTTCCCTGCACTAGTGGAAGAGTGCAAACCCACCTAAGGGGCATTTACACACAAATGGCTGGACAGACTCGCGCCACGCGGGGGCTTGGCACCAGAACTCCTCCTAGGCAGATCGTACACGGCAGATACCTTCTGTCTGACAGCTGTGTTATCCAGACCCACAGCATGAAGAACCAGCACAGCAAATGGTTTACAAACCCGGAGCACAGCTTCTCCTGGCCCCGGCTGTTCGCCTCACTATCCCTGCCACGCTGCCTTCCCCACTGCAGAAGACCCACACTCACACCTTGTGGGGTTAAGGGTTTTATTGGCGCCCACCGCTGCTCAATTTCCCTGGATGCTTAAGAGACAGGGCTTTTAAAAAGTAACACAAGGGGCTGCTGCCTCCCCACCAGATTAGCTCGGGCTTCAGTGTTGGTTAATATTCCAGGAGTTTCCCGCAAAGTCTCCCAGATTCTAAGTTTTTGGAACTCTGAAGCCGTCAGCTGCTTAGGGCCCCTGCGTGATTTTCCTGATGGCCCATTTTTAAAGAGCTTCCTATTGGTTTTCCCAAAGACAACAAGCCCACGCTTAAGACGTGATTCTCTCTCTTCCTTTCCCTTCACTCCAGTTACAGGGCAGTTGCCTGGAGTCCTGTGGACCTGGGGGTGAGGTCCGGGAGAAGGCGGGCTAGTATTCATAGAGGGGACCACAACGAGTGGAGCTGAGGGCTTGGGGTCTGACACTGGACGGAGAGAGGCTGGGACAGGGGAGTGAGCGACTTCTCCTGCCCAACTTCCCACAACCTGGAGGCGAAGACTCAGGGGACCCAAGAGTGGGTTCCACTTTGGCATCATGGAATGATGTCACCGCAAGGGGCCTGGTGTCCAGCCCCACCCCCCGAGGGTGACTGGAGAGTGGGGAACACGGGGAGCGGGTTCGCGCGGAGGGCAACTCACAGAGGAGAAGTTGTGTGGGCCGCAGAGCTCGCCGCGGTACTTGCAGGAGAGCAGCATGTCCTCGAGCTGGTGGCCCAGGCGGTCCATGAAGGCGGCGCTGATGCCCTCGAAGTGGCGCGGCGGCAGGAAGAGGCGGAAGTCGGCCAGCTTGCGGAACCACTGGCGGCGCGGCTCGTCGCCCCGCAGCAGCTCGCTGACCAGCGGGCGCGCGGTGCGGTTGGGCAGCAGCAGCCCGAGCCAGTGGCCGGCGTAGTAGAGGTCCCCCTTGGAGAGGCGCGGGAAGCGCAGCGGGTTGTTGTTGCACACGGTGACGGCGGGGAAGGGCAACTGGCGGCTCCACTCGCGGTGAACCCGCGTGTGCGACGGGAAGCTGAGCCAGTAGAGCAGGCGGTTTGAGGACCAGGACAGCAGCAAGCCGAGGGACGTGCAGAAGGCCAGCACCCACAGCGCCCGCCGCTGGAAGGAGCCCCCCGCCGCCGTGCGCCCGGCGCACATGTGCCGCAGCCCGTGCAGTTTAGCGCGGCTCAGAGACGGCCGCCCCCTGCGGGCGACCCCCGGTCCTTGCAGCGCCCGCTCGCGCTCGCCGCCCCTGCCACCCCCGGGCTGCCC